CAACAGAAGTTCCCAAAAAGGTAGTCCCTCCTAAGAACTATAGGAAGCTGGACAAACCTCAAAAAGGAAACAATTTCAGAAGAAAACCCTCTAACCCCCACTATACACGAGGCTATACTCATTATGGGGTAGATAGGAGTTTTCCAAGAAATTCTGAGTGGAGAACTATGCCAAGATATAGTCATCCTCCACCCCAGAAGCTATTTGTGCCACCTAAGTATGCTTATAACCGACACAAGACACACTATGCACAACCTAGACAAAACTATAGGTTTTATCAACCTAGGCTTACTAGGAGGAAACATGAAATTGCACCTCCTACACGTAGGAAGTTTTATGCCTATAACTATGATTAAAATCCCAACAAGTTTAGAGCTGCAAGGAAAATTCCCTACAACTTCAAACTTGATGTAGGGACACACACCATTAACTATTCCGGACCCAAACTTAATTGGGTACCAAAATCTTCCTCATCCTAATGCAGGAAGCCGCTAAGTACCCAGGTGTCTGGTACTTAGACAGTGGCTGTTCAAGACACATGACGGGTGATGCGAGCCTTTTGAGCAATCTAATTCCCTATGATGGTCCAAGAGTTACTTTTGGAGGAAGCAATGATTTCGGCCTCACTAAAGGGCTAGGAAATCTGGTGTACAAGGGACTAACCATCCAAGCTGTATCTTATGTAGAAGGTCTCAACTATAACCTTCTTAGCATAAGTCAGTTTTGTGATAAAGGTTACTCCCTGGAATTCTGCAAGGACATGACATCTCTCAAAAACATCTCCACAAATGAAGTCATTCTCACTGGGAAGAGAATCAGGAACATCTATGAAGTAATGTGGGACAACGTCAAGGAAGCATGTCTAATCAGCAAAGGTGACAATAACCTTCTATGGCTTTGGCACAAGAGGTTGAGTCATCTCAACTTCAAAACTCTCAACAAGCTGTCCAAAGAAGGGCTAGTAGAAGGTCTTCCCAAAGCTGCATTCAGAAAGGAAAGCATTTGTGATGCTTGCCAAAAAGGAAAGTAAGTCAAGTCCACCTTCAAGGCAAAATCAGCACCCTCAACTACAAGGATATTAAGTCTTATTCACATGGACTTATTTGGCCCTGTCACTCCAATAAGTTTAAGTGGAAAGAAATATGTCCTGGTGGTAGTTGATGATTACTCAAGATACACGTGGACAATCTTCCTCAATAGCAAGAAGGAGACTCAAGGGAAACTCACCAACTGCATGAAGCTGATTCAAAACCAAGCAAGTCAGACCATTCAGAAGATCAGATCTGACAAAGGCACAGAATTCCTGAATGAAATCATCATTCACTACTGTGAAGAAAA